AACAAAAACCCTGAAAGTACACTGGGATCACTGGGACTCTGTCTTATGTGAAGGTTTGCTTGGGATGAAAAAGGATATTGCAGCTTCAGCAGTGATGAACTGTGTGTTTAAAAATGTGAATTACTGTTATTGTATACTGTAATTGATTACATGGGCCGGGGGGAGGTATCAAAGAACTTGGCAGGTTGTGTTGATGCTCTTAGTTGAGTCTTGAAAAGTAAATATTAACGCTACAGAAATGCATGAGTTTCAGTATATTTTTGTCTTTGTTTGCATTGTATAACTTTAATGAGTGAGTTTAAAATTATTTAATTTCCGTAGGAAAAAAAAACACCATTGGAAATACTGGTGTTACGAAGAACATAAATGCACTGTTTTTATTTTATATAATTTAAATTTTCTTTCCCACTGTCTATCTTTTTTCTTTTTTTTTTTTTAAGTTGAGAAAAACTTAAGCTACGAGTCGCTAATTTAGCTACGTAACAAGGAAAACATGAATGTTTACAAACAGGCTTAAAGACTTGCATGTGCAGTGCGCGTTTATGAAAAGGAAACCTTCCAGTTGCACAAAACCCCACGCCAGCTCCGACTTTAGGTGCGTACACTTAACCCAGATGAGCATTTTTAGGATTCCTGCTGCACAAATCAACAATAGGTCGTTCTTTTTTCCTTTTTTTTTTTTTTTTTTCTCCTTTTTTTTTTCCCCCCCTTGAAAAGAGTCTCTGGACTGAAAAAGCCCCGGGCTGAAAGGCCTGGAAGCCGTGATTGACACGGGGGCCGGGGGAGGGTAGAGGACTCTGTGTATCCAGGCAGCGGAGCCTGCAGCCTGACGTGTGGTTTTAATGACCAACACGCAGGTCAAAAGCATTTTGCACAGTGTTTGTTTTCCTGTCTTGCACTTACAAATAAGGTCTATGGGAGTAGCATGGAAAACGTTTGCTGTTTTTCCTTTCTTTTTTTCCGCTTTTGTTTAAAATTTGATCGCCTTAACTACTGTAAACATAGCCTATTTTTGTGCTTAAGATACTGAATGGAAAACTCCATTGTGTATTGCTGGACTGTTTTGGAAATATTTGGTCAAATGTGTGTTAATTTGGCTGTAATGGCATTTAAAACAAAACAAAAAAAAAGCTGTGAAAATGGCCTTGGAGCGTTATCTTTAGTTACTTGAATAGTTTCTAGGTTTTAAAAATACATTCTTTTATTAATTTAGAGAAGACAATCAGTGTCTGAGAAAAATGGACTTTCTCTTGGATTTTTTTGTGGTCCTTGTGAGTGATTGCTTTTTTTTTCCTTTTTCTTTCTCCTTCCTTTATTAGTTTCACATTCTTCTTTCGTTCTAAAACTTAGACTGACATCTAGCTTTGACAATCATAGTATGTTTTATTTTCCTGAGGGGGGAATAACTTATAATGCTGTTTAGTTTTGTACTATTGGTGTGTTGGTGAATTTTTAAACTGTGTGCTAACTGCAATAAATTATATGAACTGAGAAATCAATTCCCTTGTCTTTTTTCCCTCTTTTAAATTATAGTTACGGAGTATTTTTTATAATGTGTAACTTTATTACTTTTGTACAGACTTCTATTGCTAACTGTGTATGGAATATGTTTTCAGTATGCTTTTGAGCACTTTGTTGCTAACGTACATATTTACATCTCACTTAACACTTAAAGAATTAAATGCTTGTGTTTTGAAAGCATTTCTGTGTGTGTAGCTCTCTGTCATTCTCCAGAGGGATTTTTTTTTTCTTTTTGCTTTTCCCAAAGCTTTTGCAGAAGCAATCTATCAAATTCCAGAAATTTTAATACTAAGCAAGTATCTGTATATAAAGACACAATGTTCTTCCKCTGCTTTTAATTTCATCCAAAGTAGATCTGTCAGGTTCACTCTTTTGTGTTCGGTTTCTATTGGGAAAATTGGAGCAGAAGGGAACAACTTAATTTGAAGTCCTGATCGGGTAAGGGCTGGCAGTCTAGGCTGCAGAACAAGCAGGCGCTCCAGACGTCCAAAATACCGGCATTGCCTCCAAACTGTTGGGCTTGCAAAAGGAAATCGCAATGATATTGCCTCTGTTTGTGGTTTTATCYCACTGTCTTGGACTAAATGTCTCTCTAAAGAAAAGCTCAGTGAAACCTTTGAGGAAGATACGTTTTAGATGTTTGTTGCAGAATATACCCAGAATTCTTTCTCCAAACTGTGTTATCCTAGGAACAAAACTGGTACTGCAAAGCCCAGTGGGAATATAAAAGTGGAGCTAAATTGGAAGTCTGGAACAGAGACAGCAGTAGGAATTCGCACCCAAAAAAAAAAAAAAAAAAAAAAAAATCTTAATTTAAACATTTTAATGGCTTTGTCATCTGACTAGGTACAACTTGTACCTTGATCAAGCAAGTGAATCTGCTCGTTTAATGCTATATTGCTAATCTTTCTATATTAATTTGTACTTGGCTAAAGTGATCTTTATATATATATATTTTTATGTATATATTATATATATAACTACTCAAAGAACATTTGCTTTTTTTTTTTTTTTTTTTTTCCCTAATGAAGCGAGTTATTTCGGGTGTTTTCAGAGCGTTACTTGCTGTGAACAGTAGTGTCCTCACACGTGTAGATGTCTCTTTTGCTAGCAGCGATTTTTTTTTTCTATAATCCAGACTTTCAGATGCTAGAATATTATGTATCATTAAGCAATTTAAAGTGTCATTAAGTTTGAGGCATAGGCATGGTTAATATTTTAATTCTGAAATCCGTATAGCTGACGAGTTTTAGATGCGGCTCTGGACAAATCATTCCCGAATCGATGGTTCGGGATCCATTTGTTCCCAAACGACAACAGTTTTAAGAGCTGTAGATTCATGAGTAAACCTAGACTTGGAGACCTTCTTCAGAGGGGAAATAGAAAACATAACTTGGCTGTTAACGACAAAATAATTCAAACTATGCTTCATATTTKGGAGTTTGAGCTGGCCGTTATATACATGTGCAGCACATACTTGCTTGTGGCTATCAGTTTCTTCTATAAAAAAGATGAAACATACTTCGATATGTTGCTCCTCTACATAAGGTTTAATGTACTGACATCCCTAAATAGCTGTATTTTTTTGTTTTAGTATAGTTGCTAGTTGCAGTAACAAAGTCCTTACTGTTCATATGGCCATCATGGTCTGAAGCAAATTGTGAGAATGGGAAGTGTAAACTTTATGTGTCCGGACGGCTTTCTCTGGCCACTGATAGGCATTACCTTCTAACTTCTTGTTTAAGAGAAGGCACGGGACCTATGCTAAATATATCACCCTTTGATATTTTTTATATCCTAGTTGGTAGCTTAATATGTATATTTTAAATTTTGAATGATTTCTCTGAAATCGTAGGCAGTTGGTTTAAGAGAGAGAATTTTGAATTGGGTGTATTATTCAATAGGCTGTCTACTTAACCCTAAGTAARAACCTTGTGTATTTAGGTGAAACTTAAAGAAGAATTTGGGACAAATTTGAAGCAAACCTTCTTGGTCACTGAGCATAAGAAGTCTTCGTTACCTTACCAAGAAAAGGAATACCAAACACTTCATCTATTCTGCTGAGCACTAAGCTAGAACAGCGCATCCCTTTACAACATAAATCACCTCGCTTCAAATCCTAAATGATAAGAAGTAATTTGCAGAGCAGCGTCTTTCCTTTCCCCCGTGCTGCCTCGTGGCAGCAGCCGGGCTCCTTCACCTGCTCGGGGAGCATGTTGGGGTTTTGCTTCTCCTGCCGGTTGGTGCTTGCTGCTTTACTCGTGCTGCTCCTCCGTGGAGGGACCCGTCGGAAGCCGCGTGAGTCTTTTCTGTTTGTCCGTCTGTAAATAAAATTGACTTCTGCAATGATCAAACGCTCTAACTTTTTTAGTGGACACAAYTTTAAAAGGATATTTCTCCAGGATGCTTCATAAAATGTAACGCCARGACCCCTTTTTACAACTGAGGATGCTTCAGCCATTCGTAGCTGAGGAGAACTTGGGAGGGCAGAAAATTCCCCTGTGCTCCATCCTTGATTTCGGAGGGGATGTTCATCCCCTCAAAATGACACACAGTGAAATATAGTTTGAGTCTGCAAAAAATACACTAGAAAAAAATATTTTCAAATATAATATAGTCCTACGTGACAACATTCGCAAGCCAGTAAATTATTAACAGTCTTTGTAAACGGGATTTTGAAACTGAAATATGAAGTCTATACAGAGTGTAGACTTTTTTCTAACAATAAAATCAGGACTTCTTAACATAGACCTGTGACATTTTATAGAACTGCTCCATAATTTTAAAAGGATGAGAAAGGAAAAACGGCTCTTCTGAATTCTTTCAGGATACCTGAGTTGGGAACTCGTGTGTTTATTTTTTGTTGCACTTTAGCCGTAATTTGATCAAGTCATTAAGTATAGTGAATTTGATAATAAAAATCATTTTCCACTCCATAATAGGGGAGTTCTTTTATAATTCTATTTGTAAGAATGCCTTTGGGCAGAAAGTGGAAATGTTATCTTTTGTCAGCAAATTAAAATAGTCATAGGAAAAAAGAATGCCGCATATTAAAACCTAGAGCCAGSAGCTCATTCTACTGTGATAAAACTCAGCCAAACACATTAATGGGTCTTACTGATGAGATGTTATGTCTTTTTTTTTTTTTTTTTCATGGAGATTATGCATTCTGTTATTGTAGGCTCAGAAAGAAGCACGGCTCGTAACGGCTGGTGCAATCCGTGGGTCTGCGGCGCACGGAGCCCCGTGCAGCCCGYGGCGCTCGGAGCAGGGAGGAGGTGGCCTCCCCACCAAGGCAAGCCGTGGCAGAGACAGCAA